TATTCCGTCTTGCAGATTTTGCATTCACATTTTTAGTGTGAGTTCAATTTATCTTTGAATTACCTCCATTGGCAAAATTACTAAGCAGTTTAATTAGATTTTCTACCGTACTGTTATTATGTTATTAATATGTATCCACTTTTTCTGGGAATATTAACGAAAACGATATTTGACATTGATCCTTTTAATATGTTTTAGCAATGTGCGTGTATTTAATATTCTCTTTACGTTATGCAAAATTGTACAAACGGTGGAAATTATAAAATAGCTCTATGCCGTTATATAAACAAACCCTACTCTATTACTTATAATAAGACACTGCGGTGCACTGAAAAGCACAGCATGGTGCGAATGATTACTTTTATGGTTCCAAAAGCTATAGCGATGACGGACGGAAGGAAGGAAGGAAGGACAGACACAGCCCGCTTATATTATAGACTAGCTGCATCCCGTGCTCCGCCACGGTAAATCTTTTTTAAATGTACCAACTTGGGAACAGAACAAAACTAAACACAACACAAACGAACGCAAAAAAAAAAACACAAACGAAAAAACAAACACAACACACATAACATAAACACATTTTAAATGCAATCATAAAGGCATATTGCTCACAGTCTAGCCCGTAGCGCCAAATCGCGCCCTTTCCGGTGATTAGCACCCCCCTCAAACTTTTGATTTGCACCCCTTCCCCCCCCCCCCCCCCGCCCTAAAACTTTCGATTTCCACCCCCCACCCCTCGCATATTTTTTCCAACCAACTTTGGCGCCCCCTAAGGTCGGCACCCGTGGACATATGCCCCCCCACCCCTCGCTACGCCTCTCCTATAAAACCCCTAGCTTGTCCGCAAACCGAAAGATAGAATAATAATTAGTAAACAGTATAAATAATAGGCAGTATTTAAAATATCCGTGTTTTACCTACAATATTTCACTTTATCCATTCACGCATTTTTTTTTCCAGTACTTTAAATTTTAAAAATTTACAATAAAGTTTCATAACTAAAACCATTGCGCACCTAATGAACGTGATGACGCGTCTATAATAGTGCTGAATAGTTGATTAAAAATTATAAGTCTTAGTGATAAACAGTAGGGCCTACATTTAGTGAATAAAATAAATAAAAGATTGCCTTTTATCAATCCATGCTAATTAATATTTTCAAACAATAATTTCCTCTTACACATCCGAATAATTTGCATTCACATTTTGCTAATTATATTATTTGCAACACTAATTCCTTCTAGCTGCATCCCGTGCTCCGCCACGGTAAATCTTTTTAAATGTACAACTTTGGAACAGAACAAAACGAACAAAAACACAACCACAACACAACCACAACACAAACACAACCACAACACAACCACAACACAACACAACAACACAACCACAACGCAACCACAACACAACCACAACACAACCACAACACAACCACAACACAACACAACACAAACACAACACAACACAACCACAACCACAACACAACCACAACACAACCACAACACAACCACAACACAACCACAACACAACCACAACACAACCACAACACAACCACAACACAACCACAACACAACCACAAAACAACCTCAACACAACCACAAAACAACCACAAAACAACCACAGCCACAACATTAGAATCACCACCAAACAACACGCTTTTTTAGGCGTCCGCGCCCAAAGAGAGCCTTTATTTAAGTCACAAAAATAGATTCTACTCCATAACTTACAATAAAACAATGCAATGCAAATAAATGTACGGCAAGTGGTGTTTACTTTTATGGTTCTAAGAAAACACATTGGCAATGTAATTAGAATCACCACCGAAAAACACGCTTTTCCCAGGCGTCCGCGCCCGCAGAGAGCCTTTTCAGCATTCTCTATACTATAATCCTAAAATTTCACCATCTGTTAACACCGAAAAACAAAAACAAAAAAATGTGATTTTGAGAGATCATAGACTAATTAGAAAATAATATAAATAATCTTAACATTTTTCTATTTTACTTATGAACCTTAACATATAATAATCAATGTGGAAGTAATAAAAAAATAACTTAAATTATTGAGAGTGAGTTAAATATTAAAAAAAAAAATTTTCCCATACGTCCGCGCTCAGAGAGAGCCTTTCCAGTCTTCTCAAAAAGTCAAATTTTACCATCTGTTTTCATAACACCGAAAAACAAAAGCAAAAAGAAAGTGATTTTTGAGAAATCATAGACTAATTAGAAAATAATAATAAATAATATAAATAATCTTAACATTTTTCTCTTTTAATTATGAACCTTAACATGTAATAATCAATGCGGTAGTAATAAAAAAAAAATTAACTTAGATATTGAGGAGTTAAATATATTTTTAAATTACCTCCCTTGCAAAAAAATTACCAAACAAAAGTTGAATTAATTAGTTTTTTCGACCTACTTTTATGGAAATGTATCCATTTTTTCTAGGAATATAAACTAAAATGATATTTGACATTGATCTTTTAAATACGTTTTAGCAATGTGCGAATATTTAATATTTTCATAACGTTATGCAAAAAAGTAAACACAGTGTCATTTATAAAATAGCTCTATGCCGCTATATAAACAAACCCTACTCTATTACTTATAATAAGACACTGCGGTGCACTGAAAAGCACAGCATGGTGCGAATGTTTACTTTTATGGTTCCAAAATCTATAGCGATGACGGAAGGAAGGACTGACACACTACCAGCAGCGTTATATTATCTATATACTACTAAAAGTCAACTTTGTTTACATGTTTGAATATTTATTTGTTTGCCTGATCGACTATTGTGATATGTTCGACTCTATCTGGAAAGCTGTAAAATAGTATGCAGGTAGAGAATAATTTTTTAATGCAGACAGACTGTTGATCACAAATTTATTTAAAGACGTTAATTAATTTATTGATTTATTCATAGTTAAATTAACCGTATTTTTTTAAAAATGTTAATACTTTGAATAAACTTTGTGGGGATAGTGACGTCCCTTGATGTGTTTACATTTTTGGTACAATAAAAATGGCGGACCCCATCATAGACTTTGTGGCCCATTCAAAAGTTTAACGCGTTACAAAGCTAATTTTCTGCCGGCTATAACTTAAACAATACGTCCTTTTGCTGTATTTATTACGTTCCAACACTTATATCAATTTTCAACTGTCTTTTTCATTTAGTTTTACGATAAATTTCTCTAGATCTAAAGATCAGCTATCGAAGGAAATTTATGAATCTAGCCTAGATCTAGATCTAGATCTAGCCTAGATGTAGGTCACTAGATTCAATGTAAATTCTACATCTAGAATCTATTTCAGGCCTTAATTATTTTATATAAATCTTTGTTTGGCTTATTTAAGATAAAATTTAATTTGAAAGTTAGTACTACTAGACTTATTTTTAGATCTAGATCTAGAATCTATACGCGTAAATCAAGTTGCATAAGGAGACACATAGTATAGTATAAAAATTCACTTGTGACGTCACGAGTAAATAGCTAAAATGGTAGCGTAGTCAGCTCTCATGCAGGAGGCACGGGTTCTAGACCAATATGTCAATGAAATTTTTTTTTTCAATTTTTTTTTTAGATGTGAATGATAACGTTGCCTATCTGAACTTGGCAAGATACAGGGCAGGTGAAGTAGAGTTCATCTGTTTCTTTGTCCTAAGCATATGAAAGGATAGTGTGGTCAGATACATGCTCGGCTGGAATTGTTTTTTAAACGATAAAAACATGTTGTCTGAGACTTGGCAGGACACTGGGCAGGTGAAGTAGAGTTGAGTAGGTCACCTGTGACGTCAGTTTATGAAGGGATAGTCCGAAATCGGTGTTTTCGGTGTTTTTAAAAGATAAAAAACATATATTTGAATGTGGGGTCTGTTTTTTGTGACGATAAGTGACACTGCAGTAGCGTACCGAGGAGGGGGGGGGACGGTAGGGGAGGGGAGGCGGGGGGTGGGGAGGGGAGGCGGGGGGGGGGGGGAAGGGGAGGCGGGGGTGGGGAGGTGGAGGGGGAAGGGGGGGGCATATGTTGGGGCGCCAAAATGGTTTGGAAAAATAAATTGATAGGTTGAGGGGGGTTCAAATCGAAAGTTTGAGTGGGGGGGGGGGGGGGGGGGGGGAAATTGCACATCAAAAGTTTGAGGGGGGGGGGGGGGTTCAAATCGAAAACTTTGTCCCCGGGCGCCGGGAAGGGTCGCTATGCCTCTGAGTGAGAGACGTGATGTTTTTTGATGGATGACCCCCGAAACCCACAGTTATCCAACGGATGACGGGTATTCTAGTAGATATTATAGATGGTTTTTGTGTGTGTAGTCAAACTATTTTTAAGGTAGACAAATTATTGTGGAACTCACACTTTAGATACAAAAATAAAACCACTGTGTATGTTTGTACAATACGAGTAAAAATACATTTACCTATATGCAGTTTTTTTTTGACAGTGGGATATGAAACTTCAGGCAGGGTCGGGCCGTAAAGCTCATGAATGCTAAACCGAAAAGGCTCAAGTTCGAACCCCTTGCAGATGAGGCTCAACACCTGGCAGTGGCGTAGCCAGGATCGTCTCAAGGGGGGGGGTTCCAATTTTTACCCGGGGACAAACTTTCGATTTGCACCCCCCCCTCAGACATTTGATTTTCCCCCCCCCTTCCAAACTTTCGATTTGCACCCCCCTCAAACTTTCGATTTGCACCCCCCTCATACTTTATATATATACCGAGTGGTCTAACCCCCCTGCCTACGCCACTGACACCTGGGGACAGCAACCATCTAGGAGAGACGACTCCAAAATCAAACAACTGCTGCCTTGTAGTTTGTTATTGGGTATAGAAAAAGGCTATAGAATTATAGAAGGCTATAGGTTATATAATTATCAGAGGCGTAGCGAGGGGGGGGGGGCGGGGGGACATATGTCCCCGGGCGCCGACCTTAGGGGGCGCCAAAATGGGTTGGGAAAATAAATTGAAAGCTTGAGGAAGGGGGGTGCAAATCGAAAATTTGAGGGGGGGGGGGTGCAAATCGAAAGTTTGTCCCCGGGCGCCGGGAGGGGTCGCTACGCCTCTGAGAATTATAAAGGCTATAGAATCAAATCCAAAATAAAAAGCAGGCTGTAATCGGAGTCAATGGCCTATATGGCGCATACCAGGTTGACAGGAAAACTTACGTGTGTTGGAGGAAATACCATAAACAAACAGTTAAGAGCTAAGAAGAAGAAGAAAAAGAAAAGAAGAAGGTAAAAAATAAGAAGATGAAGAAGAAAAAGAAGATGATGGTGAAGAAGAAAAAAACCGATCATCACTAAGGATATTAAGTTTCGCCGGGACTTTCAATCGAAGAAAGCTGATTAATTAAACATCGATCCGCTAGAGCCTTTTTATCCCTTACCAAATGTACGTGTTTTACTTTCTACATGAAAGTGGGTTAAAGCTTGAGGCAGCTTTAAATAGACCAAGATGAAAGCTGCGATAGTAGTCATCACGGTGTGGTTCATCCTGACATCGTTTTGTGTTTTATATGGTAAAGTCTGATGTGGCATTTTAAAAATTTACTATAGTTATAGCATATATTATGTAATATTCTGTATTTATACTTGAACAGTTGTATTCAATTGTGTAATATTAATCAATTCTAGCTAAGTTTTATGTATGTTTTAATACATCAACTAATCTGATCTAGACTTGCAATCGATTAACAAATAAATCTGGATCAATTTATCTGAGCACTAGGTTCTTCCAATCCATGTAACTCGGCGTGCCCCTTTGATCCGTGTCAGCATGAAAAGTGTTTGAACTGTCGGTAAGTAAACGTTGATGTTGTAGTTCACATGTTAATGGAAGGGGAGGTAAAATGTTTTTACAGCTTTAAATCTTAAGATTTTAAGATAAATAAATCTAGTTCCTTTTTACATTAAAAATACAAATAAATTATATATCTAAACCCATGTAAAAAACCGATCTAACAACAGCTTTAATTTTCTCCCCCCAGGCCCGACCCCTGCCATTTCTGTGAAATCATATGCGAAGCCTGACAAGTTCCACATTCACCAGATCGACTTCATTAAACTTTCAGCTACCCAAATGTTAAATCAATGCTGTAATAAAGCTGAAGAAACATTATATTTCTTGATGTAATCATTTCCATTTTCCATCAATACTAATAACATGATTTAAGTATTGTACAGTAAAGCCGACAAAAAAAAAATAATTTTTTAAATTTAATTTTAAATTTTTTTGATGATTGTTATTAGTTTTAAGTAATTGCATTTAACACAATCAGTACAATAAAAAAAGACATTCAACGAATAAGGAATGCTACCTGTACGATGAAAGCAGTACCTAAAGCGATTGCTTTTTGACACATCATCTAATCAAATCATCATTCATGGACGTGCACGCTAATTGTCGTAATTTCTTTAATAACAGTAAAGTATATAACATTCATAGTACTAACGTTAAACGTAGTTACTGCTTTGTTGCTATATATATATATATATATATATATATATATATATATATATATATATATATATATATATATATATATATATATATATAATTCCGTGCACCGTCCCCCCCCCCCCGAAGAAAGTCTACCCCTCAGAACAAAATGGAATTTATATAGAAAATGTATACTTTTGACAGTGTCGCCCCCTCCGAAAAAAAATTGCAAGTGCACCCCCAAAAACACAAGTGCACTTGCCAAAAAAAAGAAATATTTTACCTTGAAGGTTTTTACGTAGATTCCCCATTTCTTAAAGAAAAAAACAAAATCATCCAACATCAAATTTTACCCCTCCCCCTCCTCCCGAGCCCCATTAAACTAAACAGCGTCCCAGAAAATTAGAGTTCATCCTTTATGAACAACGCCATTAAATACAATCATTCATATTTTATAAGAATCAAGTAAACATTGTTCACGTGTAGTATTATAGCATTAGAGGACAATCATAGAATATACATTTTAAATTTTGTTTTTTAAAATACATTTTTATACATATAATAACGTGTGGTTTATTATGCATCTAAAATATCACATAAATAACATGTGGTTTTGCATGATAAAAAGTATATTTAATACATTTATTCAATAAAGTTTTAATAAACTAATAGAAATAAATTTCCGAAACATACATTATCCAGTCTCCGCGTTCTCAAAAATTTAAAATTTAAATTCGCACCCCCCCCCCCCAAAATCAAATTTCAAGTGCCCCCCCCCCCCCCCACAAGTACACTGTCTGAAAGAAACATTGCTAGGGTTGTGGTTTAGCGCGATTATCGGGGTTAGGTTCAGTGGTCAGGGTTTTGGAAAATTGTCAAGATTACCATTCGAGATCTAGGGTTTAAGGGCCAGGGTTTGGGTTAAATTAAGAAAAAAAAAGTGGAAAATACTATTAAAATTATACATTCTTTTCGACCTTAGTGGCGTATATACATTTTTTTCACTTTAGATCAAAATTTATTCTCTCGGAATACATCAATAAATAACTAGACACAACACAACTAAGCTACCCACGCTCTATAAATGTATGTGCTGCCTTGATTAATAGTAATTATATTTTTAGAAACTCACTCCAAACCCTTCCACCCCCAACTACATGCTATACGTCATAAATCACTTAATTGATTCCACATAATAGACCAATAGGGCTGGTAAGTAGGTCACCAACCAGTTCTACGGCTCAATAAAACCTGCATGAGCGATATAACTGGTTGGTGACCTACTTACCAGCCCTATTTGTATTAGCCCGGGTTATCACACATTTTATTCCACGACGATGAAAGAGCTGATGTTGACGATGAAGATGATGATGCCGGCACCGATGAGGAGTCCAGCCGCGTGCAGGACGGCGACGACCTTGGCCTCGTGACCTCCGCGCGCCAACAACGTGTCCAGATGGTTACTCATGTCCGGCAGCTGCAGAAGAAACAGGTGTGAGTTGATCACGTGATCGTCAAATGTCCGGACCCGGCTTGATCAAAATAATTTCATTTAATATATTTGAAATAGATATTATATTATCACGATACTTGTAATAAAAACAATGACTGTTCAAGTGGTGAAAAATCAAAAAAATATAATGGAAACCCATGGACAAGTTAATTTGGGAGTAGAAGAATTTACTCATTATAAATAGATCGATTATTATATAGGTCTATCAATTAAAAAATAAATTGGTGCATTTTTTCGGACATCACTAGTCCATGCTGCTCCCTGCACCAGTCCCAACCTGCCCTAAACCTATTCACAACCTCCCCTAGTCCCAACCTCCCCTAGACCTAGTCCCTTCCTTAGACCTAGTCCCAGCCCTCCCTAGACCTAGTCCCAGACTCCCCTAGACGTAGTCTGAGCCTCCCCTAGACCTAGTCCCTCCCCTAGACCTAGTCCCTCCCCCAGACCTAGTCCCTCCCTTAGACCTAGTCCCTCCCTTAGACCTAGTCCCAGCCCTCCCTAGACCTAGTCCCAACATCCCCTAGACCTAGTCCCTCCCTTAGACCTAGTCCCAGCCCTCCCTAGACCTAGTCCCAGACTCCCCTAGACCTAGTCCCAGCCCTCCCTAGACCTAGTCCCAGACTCCCCTAGACCTAGTCCCAGACTCCCCTAGACCTAGCTTCAGCCTCCCCTAGACCTAGTCCCTCCCCTAGACCTAGCTTCAGCCTCCCCTAGACCTAGTCCCTCCCTTAGACCTAGTCCCAGACTCCCCTAGACCTAGTCCCAGCCCTCCCTAGACCTAGTCCCAGACTCCCCTAGACCTAGCTTCAGCCTCCCCTAGACCTAGTCCCTCCCTTAGACCTAGTCCCAGCCCTCCCTAGACCTAGTCCCAACCTCCCCTAGACCTAGTCCCTCCCTTAGACCTAGTCCCTCCCCTAGACCTAGTCCCTCCCTTAGACCTAGTCCCAGCCCTCCCTAGACCTAGTCCCAACCTCCCCTAGACCTAGTCCCAACATCCCCTAGACGTAGTCTGAGCCTCCCCTAGACCTAGTCCCATCCCCTAGACCTAGCTTCAGCCTCCCCTAGACCTAGTCCCTCCCTTAGACCTAGTCCCAGCCCTCCCTAGACCTAGTCCCAGACTCCCCTAGACGTAGTCTGAGCCTCCCCTAGACCTAGTCCCAACATCCCCTAGACCTAGTCCCTCCCCTAGACCTAGTCCCTCCCTTAGACCTAGTCCCTCCCTTAGACCTAGTCCCTCCCTTAGACCTAGTCCCAGCCCTCCCTAGACCTAGTCCCAACCTCCCCTAGACCTAGTCCCAACCTCCCCTAGACCTAGTCCCAGACTCCCCTAGACTTAGTCCGAGCCTCCCCTAGACCTAGTCCCTCCCTTAGACCTAGTCACAGCCCTCCCTAGACCTAGTCCCAACCTCCCCTAGACCTAGTCCCAACCTCCCCTAGACCTAATCCCAGACTCCCCTAGACCTAGTCCGAACCTCCCCTAGACCTAGTCCCAACCTCCCTATGACCTATTCTATACTTACCATCTTGTAAACAGCTGAGGTAAGGGAAATAATGTTTGTGAGATGGTAGGTGTAGTGTTTTTGTGGCTTTTAATACGTATTTTTATTTGGATTGTAAAAGAAGTCCAAAAGTTACGCTTTACTTTACTGATTCATTGAAATATTGAAGGCAAGGTTATATATTTGATTTACTACTAGTAATAATTAAACATCAAATAAAAAAAATAAGAGTAAAAACCTAAAATCAAAACCTACCATATCTACTAACGGTACATAAAGAAAAAGCCCGCCAGCTATAGCGAAGATCCACTTGCTGGCTTCAGCTATATTGCTGCCTAGGAACACGCCAATGACCAGCCCAACCAGGCATACGCAGGCAGACAGGAAGTTGATGAACAAAGATTTTTTGATGGACAAACCAGAATGGAGCAGTATCGCTATATCAGCTGTGGGAGAAGAGTTTGGAAAAGGGAATTCATAAGAGAAAAGAATAAATGAAACATTATATTTGTTACTTCCCTTTAAAAATAAAAAATAAAAAAGGAAAATAGATTAGCTGAAAATTTTTGAATAAAGAACATCTAGTTCTTAAAAACATAATAATTAATACATTACTTTGTTTTGGGTTTCAAAAGTTTTAATGTATTTAGTGTGGAAGTTTTAGTGTTTGTAAGGGGTCATCCATCAATGACGTCACGCTTTTTTGGACGATTTTTACCTCCCCCCTCCCCTCCGTCACACATCGTCACAAAAAGCCAGACCCCCCCTAAAATGACGTCACACCTCAGCCTAAACCCCCCTCAATATTGCAGCTGAATGTTTCTTAAAACATCGAAATTTTCCAAAATCTTGTCTGAACTCTGTCAATATAGAGACTTTTAATCAATTCCTATTGCAATTCATTAAAACAGTTTTCTAAACCGCGAAATAACGTCTAAAATCCGTTTTCTAACATTGCTTTTTTATAATGCAAAAGTGTGACGTCGCACCATCTGAACCCCCCCCCCCCCACCCCTCATCACACACCGTCACAAAATTACGGACAGCCTCTCCGCCCTACGAGTGTGACGTCATTTATGGACGATCCCTAATATATTGAAGTCGGGTATCCCAGAATTGTAGTATATTGAGTGCAGATAGTTAAAGAGTCGGTATATATTTGTGTGGAGGGATGTGAAGCGTTATGGTGGGGTGTGAATGAGTGTGTGTGTGTGGGTGGGTGGCAGTGTTTCTTCCAGACTTTTTTCTCCGGGGTGCACTTGAAATTTTCGTTGGGGGGGGGGGGGGGGCGGACAACAATTTTCGGGGGGGGGGGGGTGCGGACACTGTCAAAAGTATATATTTTCTATATAAATTCCATTTTGTTTGGGGGGGGGGATGCCTGGAAGAAACTCTGGTTGGTGGTGGGGGGTTCAAATAAAGGGAGAGAAGCAGTCCAGCTAATACTTGCCTAGTTCATGGGGTAGTTCCTCGCATATAATAGCCAAAGAAATGCTAATGCCCAGTGTAATATCTTCAGTAAAAGCCGCGCCGATGGATAACCCGTCCACAAAATTGTGGATTACGTCCCCTGCCATCACCATCCATGCCAGCGTCATTTTAGCCCCCATATCTTCATTCGGTAGATGCGAGTGCGCATGCTCGTTCTTCTCCGTCAGTTGCTTTTTTTCCGTCAGTGGCACGTTGACGCCATTTTCTTGAGTTGACACGGTGAACGAGACATCGGCGTCCTCTAGCTAGAAGTATGGTAACATATTTTATTATAGTCATCTAGTTAATCTATTTTCAACAGTTACAAAAAAAAAAAGAAAAAAAAAGAAAACCAGAAAAAAACCCCAGAAAAAAAAACCCAGAAAAAACAACAACCAAAAACACAACATGATCCAGTGGTATGTTACACGCTAATTTAAGAGCATTTGGAGTTCGCCTTTCGGTGTAAGTCAGAAGGACTTCCCAGAGTCCAGTAGCTTTAACAGATACTGACTGCAGTTGTGGAACATTAAGTTCTGTTGAAAATAAGTCGAGGTAAAAGAAACAGATAAACTCTACTTCATCTGCCTTATAAACCACCAGACCGTGACAGAGGCGTAGCAACGGGTGAGGGGGGGGGTTCAGATGTCTAGGGGCGCAAAATGGGTTGGAAAAAAAATAAAGCTCATTTTAGCTGCAGTTTTGAATTATAAATATAAAAAAAATATATGGAGGTAGGAGGGGGGGGGGCAGATTGAAAGTTTGTACCCGGGCGCCGGGAGGGGTCGCTACGCCTCTGGACCGTGAACATTCATCTGTTACATAATAATCACATAATGCAATATTTGTCTAGAGACAACGAAAGTAAAATGCTTGTCATTTTCATTAGTTGTCATAATACCATACCATAATTACTTAAGATCTAAGAATAAATATTTCTTGTGACCTATTGGTAAGATATATTTTTGTCATTTTCATACCTTTCTTTTGTACAAAACTGTTTTCAAGATCCTCTCCAGGCTAAAGAAGACGTAAATTGAAATGATGGCCACTGATGCTTTCCATATATACGCGTTACCCAGCTCTTCAATGGCGATAATGTCGAAGGACTGAAACGACAGATTTAACTTAAACAGTAAATTGTTTTCATATGCATATACACGTACTACGCACTACGTACTACGCACTACGCACTACGCACAACGCACAACGCACTACGTAAACGTACACGTACCTGTACCTGTACACGTACACGTACATATGTAAATATATATATATATATATATATATATATATATATATATATATATATATATATATATATATATATATATATATATATATATATCTTCATTTATTCAATAACGGTAACAACAGAAGACACGGAGACCTTTTTTTCACATTGGCCGTTTAAAAAAAAACCAAAAAACAAAACAAAACAACAACACAATAACGGCGTTGTAATAATCAGCAATGGAGTAGTAAACACAGAGCGGTAAGCTTAAAATTTAATAATTACAGTACATTTAGTTTAGCGAAAGGAGAGAAGTCTAAATGCAGTCGACTGGAATTAATGTCGAATTTACTAAAATGTGAATTATCGATTTAGAAAACCCATTGTTAGTCCTTATTGCAAATTTTAAAGTCAAAATTTAAAAATGTTGGACTCCATGAATAGCCGTAATATTATTAGTTCGATACGAAGCACATAGAGTTCACATGCGGTTCTGTTGGTCACTTGACATTTGATGATGTGAGGATGATAACATCACACATCTCCAGGATGTGAGGATGGTAACATCATGTATTCCAGGGGTCGGCAACCTTTTGAGACGGAAGAGCCAAATGTCACAATTTACCAAATTTCCCAGTTTTTAAAGAGCCACTAACATTTTTATTTCATATTTGATTAGTATTATATATATATATATATATATATATATATATATATATATATATATATATATATATATATATATATATATATATATATAAAATTTAAAATAAATAGCTTTAAATATCAAATGATTTTTATCCATGTTATCTGCTAGAATAATAAAAACAGTAACCAAATTATATATCTTTAATTATTCAATACTATTTACAATAGTTTAGCCTTGCATGCCTTTTGAAAGTTTGTTTAAACCTGGTTCATAACTTGTTTTCAGTTTCAAGCACGCCTCTTGATTTTTATTTGTTATTTGGCTTTTTACTTATCTTTTATATTATATTCATGCAAGAAAACGCTTGCTCGCATGAATATGTTGACCCGAAGATCGTCAGCACTCCAAATAACAACTTCTTCACCTCACTGTAGCATCCTGCAAGACTATTCCATGTGTCAAATACGAGCACAGTTGTGCAGCGAAACGTGCTTGTTTTTCTGGACCTCCAACTCTTCTAACTTGCTCTTGAGATCAGTAAACTTACCACTCCACAAATGTTTGGATTTCAAATCGAGCAATTTGATTTGTAGAGAACCAGCATCAATTCAAAATAGCTTAAAGTCAATCTCATTATTTTTTTGTGTTGAGATAATCTACTATGAAGGTTAGAGTACTTGCATTTGCTTGGAATCGCTCAAATCCGTTAGTTAACCCATCCTTCATTTTGTTTTTAGTAATGCTGAAGTGATTTATGCTAATAGTAGCATTGGTTTTATCACGATATATTTTTTCCCCACATTTTTCGAAATAAAGTATTTTACTGCTCTCCGTGTCTTCAACAAAGTGAAGCAATTTTGTTTCGAAACAATCTTCTTCAAGCAAGGCAAAGACTGGGTTTTTCTTTCCTTGCAGTTTTATATTTAGCTCGTTTAGTTTATTTGTGATATCCACCATGAAGTTGAATGTTTCAATTTGGGATAGACAAGTTAATTGGAAGTACATTGAAATAGGGAGTAGCTAAATATTCTAATAGAATAGCGAGCGTTTATTATTATGTCGTTCATAACCGAGTGTTACAGAACATTATTTTGATGAAACTTGAAAATAATATAAAATAATTATTAATGTTTGTGCACATAGCTGAAGAGCCGCAAGTTGACATCCAAAGAGCCGCAAGCGGCTCGCGAGCCGCAGGTTGCCGACATCTGATGTATTCTGTTTACTGCCAAATTTTCATTTAAATTTTTTTTTTTTTTTTTTTTTTTTTTAAATACATTAAGATGTTTATTACAAGAACAGTACAAATGATGAGAACCATGATGAAGTGTACAACCTGACTATAAATATCTCAGTTTTCTCCTGAACATGATGATAAACACATTTTTACAAGTTTGTGATTAAATTCAAAATGAAAAGGAAAAAAAAAATTATATATATAATAGAACTAAGCAGATTCAGTTGTTTCTGTGGTGCCATTCGATGATTCATTTGAGTCTGTCTTTGCCTTTTTCTTCGGACTTTCATCTTCTGCATCTTCACTTTCTTTTTCATCTACAGATCGCTTTTCTGCTGTTGTTTCTTCTGTTTTAGATTCTGACTCTTCTGAGCTAGCATTTTCATTTGTATTTTCTTCTGAATCTTCTGTTTTCGTGTTTTCTTCTGTTTGTTCTTCTGCTTCAGCATCAGCCTCATCAGCTTTGCCTTTCACATCTTCAACTGTCTTTGCTACAATTGGCTCTGTGGTCTCTTTTGTTTCTGACTCAACAGCAACATCATCCTTTGTTCCAGGCATTGTAAAATTGTGTGGTTTTCAGCGGACGACGACAGAAACGCTGTTGTTCCTTCCACGACAAAGAACGAGATTTTCATTTAAACGAGATAGTTTTAAATAAACTGCATTTTTGAAGTGACCTAAGTAACATTGAAACAACTGTCTAATTTTTAAACAAAAATCCAGTTTAGTTTCAAGTGGTGTGTGTGTGTGAGAATGTGTGGATAGAGATGGATTGTGTTTGGGAAGCGAACACAGGTCAACAGCCTTATTTTCTCTTACACAAAATTTACATTTTATTCGTTGAACCATCGAAACCAGATGACATCAATTAAAAGAAAAAAAATCCTTCTTCCATTTGTGTAAATCCACCTTATATCCCCGTCTTGCCTCCCTTGATTAAATCTTCTGACACAGAGGTAAAAAAAAATCACGACATACTCTTTCTCTCCCCTTTTCAAGTAATTCCCCACTCTTTTGTATTACATTAAAAAAAATGTTTACAAAAATCGCAAAATAAATAAAATTAGATAAAAAGTATATAACAAAACAAGGTACCATGAAACAAGAAAATGGTCTTCTTTTAGAGATGTACTCTATTCCTATAGACAGATACAAGCATAAGCGGAAAACGATGTGAAAAGCACAGGTTGATTTGAAAATTCCAGTGTAATGACACATAGGAGAAATAGTAATGATATATATATATATATATATATATATATATATATATATATATATATATATATATATATATATATATATATATATATATATATGTATATATATATATATATATATATATATATATATATATATATATATATATATATATATATATATATATATATATATTATATATAGGACAGCGTGGTAGGAGGGTTGATTGAGCATACGACTAAAATGCTCGAGTCGACACAGCAATTATGGGTACCTGACTCACGTTAGGGAAAGTAAAGGCGACTGGGCATAGTGCTGACCACACTATCCTTCCATATACCTAGGTCATTGAAACAGGTAAACTCTACTTCAACTGCCCCATGGACCATCAGGTTTGAAAAGGAGAACTTACTTGCTGGTATAAATAATTATTCTGAACTTTGTAAGAAATAGTAATGATCTTGGCTACACATAGTACTGACCTCTGGTATAATAATGACCTGTTGTATGGCTAGTACTGACCTCTGGTATAATAATGACCTGTTGTATGGCTAGTACTGACCTCTGGTATAATAATGACCTGTTGTATGGCTAGTACTGACCTCTGGTATAATAATGACCTGTTGTATGGCTAGTACTGACCTCTGGTATAATAATGACCTGTTGTATGACTAGTACTGACCTCTAGTATAATAATGACCTGTTGTATGACTAGTACTGACCTCTAGTATAATAATGACCTGTTGTATGGCTAGTACTGACCTCTAGTATAATAATGACCTGTTGTATGACTAGTACTGACCTCTAGTATAATAATGACCTGTTGTATGGCTAGTACTGACCTCTGGTATAATAATGACCTGTTGTATGGCTAGTACTGACCTCTGGTATAATAATGACCTGTTGTATGGCTAGTACTGACCTCTGGTATAATAATGACCTGTTGTATGGCTAGTACTGACCTCTGGTATAATAATGACCTGTTGTATGGCTAGTACTGACCTCTGGTATAATAATGACCTGTTGTATGGCTAGTACTGACCTCTGGTATAATAATGACCTGTTGTATGGCTAGTACTGACCTCTGGTATAATAATGACCTGTTGTATGGCTAGTTTTGACCTCTGGTATAATAATGACCTGTTGTATGGCTAGTACTGACCTCTGGTATAATAATGACCTGTTGTATGGCTAGTACTGACCTCTAGTATAATAATGACCTGTTGTATGGCTAGTACTGACCTCTGGTATAATAATGACCTGTTGTATGGCTAGTACTGACCTCTGGAAGAAGCACCAGAAGACTGGTGGAGGCCAGCGACCCGGCTCCCATGGCAACCAGAAACTGCAGCAGACGTTTGAAGAACCGGCGCTCCATGATCGGTCCCAGGCAGGCGCCGATGTTGGAGATGAGGATGATTAGGGAGGCGAACCCAAAGCTGTAGCCCCAGGCTGGGTGAGAGGTGGGGTGGGGGAGATACAATAAATTAATATTTCAGCAGAACTTGGGGTGTGGGGTGCACAATACGATATTTAACAGTAAGAAAACTTTCGATTTTATATATATATATATATATATATATATATATATATATATATATATATATATATATATATATATATATATATATATATATATATATATATATATATATATATATATATATGTATATATATATATGTGCCTATATGTATGTGTGTGTACTATATAGCCCTATAGTATACATTTATATATTAGTTTACAAATATATCTAACGCAACAGTAGAAAAATTCCAGTATAGCTTGACATTCGGAACAGAAAGTGGTGAATTGGCAATTAGTATGACAAGATTAAAGCATATTATCATGAAATCTAAAAGGAAAAGAGAAAGACACAATAAACACCTGGCGTATAGAAATAAGAAAAAGCCAGGGATATTACTTAACAGAGTTGACAAACCACACACACAAAAAAACAGCCAATAGATAAGGACATCAAAGCCCGTAAATGGGGGATGGATTGGGCATACTTTGAGAAGGAAGAGAAGATATTATCGCGTGGAAAGCTTTGAACTGGAATCCCCAGGGAAAAAGGTAAGTGGGTCGGCCAAAGAGATCATAGAGAAGAACAGTAGAAGATAAGGCAAAGGCCGAGAGGCTTAAGTGAGCACAGATCAAGAAAGCTGGGGAAAACCGAGTCCGGTGGTAAAGTGTGGTCGCAGCCCTTTGCTACCAAGTGGCGCCCAAAGGAATAAGTCGAAAAGTTGACAAAAAAAAAATAATAGAAAAAAAAAAAAAAAAAAAAAAAGAACAATAGAGAATGAAATAATGTTGTAAATGTGATATGCTCAACTGTAAGTTATGGGGCGGAATGGTCTAGCGGTAGAGAGCTGGATTGCTAACCCGAATCCGGGTTCAAGTCAGTAGACCATCCCTGAGTCCCCCCAAATCTGATGGGTACCTAGTGCTAACCACACTATCTCTTCATATGCCGAGGTCACAGAAACAAGTGAATTCTACTTCACTTGCCCCATAGACCGTCAGGTTTGAAAGGGAAACTTTAATTTAACTGTAAGTTGAAAAAGGCTAAATGATATATGGTTGTATGTATTTGTACAAATATGATCTCACCTTCAGCCGTTGTGGGGTGCTTCTTGTACCTCCCATGGTAGGTGTGTTCAACAGCACCCCTGGAGCAGTTCTCAGAGCTCAGGGTGTTGAGGGCGATGGGTATGGCGGAGACAAGGCCGTCTGCTGCTAGTTTACCTTCCACCGCCAAGCTGGTGTAGATCTCTTTGATGCCAGGGCACTGGGAGGGAAAGGTTTCAGTTAAATGACAAGATGCCAGGGGCACTGGGAGGGGGGAAGGTTTCAGTTAAATGACAAGATGCCAGGGCACTGGGAGGGGGGAAGGTTTCAGTTAAATGACAAGATGCCAGGGCACCGGGAGGGGGGAAGGTTTCAGTTAAATGACAAGATGCCAGGGCACCGGGAGGGGGGAAGGTTTCAGTTAAATGACAAGATGCCAGGGCACTGGGAGGGGGGGGGGGAAGGTTTCAGTTAGATGACAAGATGCCAGGGCACTGGGAGGGGGGAAGGTTTCAGTTAAATGACAAGATGCCAGGGCACTGGGAGGTGGGAAGGTTTCAGTTAAATGACAAGATGCCAGGGCACTGGGAGGGGGGAAGGTTTCAGTTAGATGACAAGATGCCAGGGCACTGGGAGGGGGGAAGGTTTCAGTTAAATGACAAGATGCCAGGGCACCGGGAGGGGGGAAGGTTTCAGTTAAATGACAAGATGCCAGGGCACTGGGAGGGGGGAAGGTTTCAGTTAAATGACAAGATGCCAGGGCACTGGGAGGGGGGAAGGTTTCAGTTAAATGACAAGATGCCAGGGCACTGGGAGGTGGGAAGGTTTCAGTTAAATGACAAGATGCCAGGGCACTGGGAGGGGGGGGGGAAGGTTTCAGTTAGATGACAAGATGCCAGGGCACTGGGAGGGGGGAAGGTTTCAGTTAAATGACAAGATGCCAGGGCACTGGGAGGGGGGAAGGTTTCAGTTAAATGACAAGATGCCAGGGCACTGGGAGGGGGGAAGGTTTCAGTTGAATGACAAGATGCCAGGGCACTGGGAGGGGGGAAGGTTTCAGTTAAATGACAAGATGCCAGGGAACTGGGAGGGGGGAAGGTTTCAGTTAAATGACAAGATGCCATGGCACTGGGAGGTGGGAAGGTTTCAGTTAAATGACAAGATGCCAGGGCACTGGGAGGGGGGGAAGGTTTCAGTTAAATGACAAGATGCCAGGGCACTGGGAGGTGGGAAGGTTTCAGTTAAATGACAAGATGCCAGGGCACTGGGAGGGGGGAAGGTTTCAGTTAAATGACAAGATGCCAGGGCACTGGGAGGTGGGAAGGTTTCAGTTAAATGACAAGATGCCAGGGCACTGGGAGGGGGGAAGGTTTCAGTTAAATGACAAGATGCCAGGGCACTGGGAGGGGGGAAGGTTTCAGTTAAATGACAAGATGCCAGGGCACTGGGAGGGGGGAAGGTTTCAGTTAAATGACAAGATGCCAGGGCACTGGGAGGTGGGTAGGTTTCAGTTAAATGACAAGATGCCAGGGCACTGGGAGGGGGGGAAGGTTTCAGTTAAATGACAAGATGCCAGGGCACTGGGAGGTGGGAAGGTTTCAGTTAAATGACAAGATGCCAGGGCACTGGGAGGGGGGAAGGTTTCAGTTAAATGACAAGATGCCAGGGCACTGGGAGGTGGGAAGGTTTCAGTTAAATGACAAGATGCCAGGACACTGGGATGGGGGAAGGTTTCAGTTAAATGACAAGATGCCAGGGCACTGGGAGGGGGGAAGGTTTCAGTTAAATGACAAGATGCCAGGGCACTGGGAGGTGGGAAGGTTTCAGTTAAATGACAAGATGCCAGGGCACTGGGAGGGGGGAAGGTTTCAGTTAAATGACAAGATGCCAGGGCACTGGGAGGGGGGAAGGTTTCAGTTAGATGACAAGATGCCAGGGCACTGGGAGGTGGGAAGGTTTCAGTTAAATGACAAGATGCCAGGGCACTGGGAGGGGGGAAGGTTTCAGTTAAATGACAAGATGCCAGGGCACTGGGAGGGGGGGAAGGTTTCAGTTAGATGACAAGATGCCAGGGCACTGGGAGGGGGGGAAGGTTTCAGTTAAATGACAAGATGCCAGGGCACGGGGGGGGGGGGAAGGTTTCAGTTAAATGACAAGATGCCAGGGCACGGGGGGGGGGGAAGGTCTCAGGTAAATGACAAGATGATAGAAGTCTTAACGGTAGGCTGGTGGGTTAAGTTAACTCTAACACTAAGACAAGACGATAGAAGTTTTAGATGTAGGTCGTAAGGTTAGGCTAACCCTAACCCTAACCCTAAGGCAAGACGATAGAAGTGTGACTAAGTTTTAGCTGTAGGCTGTAAAGTTAGGTAACATACTTAAGCTATTGCACGTGCAACCCTTAATGAGGTAATGCAGTAGAAAATAATTTCAATAAATTAAAATAAAAAAGCTACTATATAAGAAGTCTCTTCTTAAAAAGTAAGATACTAAAATTTTATAATTTTCTTTTCACTTTTGTATAAAGGATTATCGGCAAACTAATGTGTCCATTTCCTAAGGGGGAAAAAAGTTATTTTTCTGTGAGTACAAAAACGTGTACGTCACGTGAATCATTTTGACACGGTGTGATAGTTTCATCTGGGCATCTAACTCGCCTTGGGAACAACACACTACCGACTGATGCAATAATGGCGCAAATTATCCGTATTTATTTTCTTATGGGTTATAACA